ACTTTCATCTTTCTACAGCTAGCCAAAATAAAAAGGCTTTTAAATTGAGCAAACTAAACAAGATCCTCTACATTATAATTGGTTCATAATAAAGGTCATTTATTATATTTCATTCAGTTGAAACTGACATCATATTAGAAGAGAAAAGAAAGTGATATCTGTTTGAGCAAAAAAAAACAAAACCTAGGCAGTAAAGTCCGGCATGTGTTAACTCATTAGTTAATAAGATAGTACTAAAATGTATTAATCTTTTTTTTGATGATGTTGGTGACATTATTTAGAAACAGTGATTTGTAAGGTACTTTTCTGGTCATAACATTATCAAGATGATTCTAAAATTATAACTTTGATAAAAAGATGAGCATAAAGTTTTGAGTAGGGTTTATATGTTAATATTTGGCTAGCTCTAATTTGGTCCATGTAATCCTCATTTACGAACATTCATTTAATGTTTGAAATTATGATGGTGTTGAAAAAGTGAAGTATAATCAATACTCACATTTACATTCATCACAGTGTTCCCTCAGTTATATGATCAAAATTTGGGTGCTTGACAATCAGCTTGCAATTACAATTGCAGTGTCCCTTGGTCACATGATTGCCATTTGCAACTTCCTCAGAGGACTTCCAACAAGCAAATTCAATTGGGGAAACTGGATTTACTTAACAATTATGTAATTCACTTATTGACTTCAATAATTTCCTTAATGACTAAGGTAAAAAAGGTAAAATTGGGTGCAACTCACGTAACAACTGCAATACTGGTCCCTATTGTAGTTGTCAGTTTATGACTATCAGTATACCTTTTATTAGTCATGTACAGTAGATTTCGATAAAGTATGAATAGTTATAGGAAAAGGTTTTTTATGTGATTAGGACAAATGTTGTTTGTCCCTTCATAAAGAATTAACATTCTATTATGATAAATTCAGCAGTTTGGAACCAAGAGGTCAAATAAGGATCATCTGGAAGCTCAGATGAGGAAATGAAAAAATGGCATCTCAGCAAAAATACTCAAAGCAACATCTTTTTAAAAAAATCCTTATTGGAATTACATTTCTTTTGGTTTATGATTTCTTTTTTTATAGTTAAAGATGCAAGGACAATGAAAAAATATAGTAACAAATAAAAAATACTTACTATCCTAAGCTTGCCATTTGGGGTTCTTTGTGCTTTCTACAATCCTTTTGTTTTAAAACCTTTCAATATTTGGTACTTTAAGTACTTTAATGTTAATAAGGAATGTTTAAAAAATGCAACAATAAATTCTATACTTCTTATCCATCTACTTGTCATTAGATTTAGCCTTTTGTTATATCTTCCCATTTTCCCCCATGGTATACATGTAAAGTGAGTTAGGTTGAGAGAGAATGACTGGCCCAATGTTTCCATCATGCCCAACTGGCCACCACTGATCCTTTGAACTAATCACTGGACCATCAGTTAAAAATCTCTTTTTCTTGGCACAGCCCAAAGTTTCTGTTGTTCAGATTGTGCACACTTAGCCTTATGCTTTCTTGTGCACTTTTTTTTTCTAGCCAGCAGCCAAATGTTGCTGAAAATACTGTTAAAGGACATTGAAATAGGTTTCTTCTAAGATTGCATCAATTGTTACCCTATATGAACCTTTCTTATTGCATCTCATAGCTATGCAAGATGTTAATTTATGTTATGCAAAATGCTTAATAATGTTCTAGTCAAATAGTGTTGCCATTTGATGATTATGGACAGCTGCAATTTTTCATTTGAGATTTATTTTTCATGATTCAGCTGTTCAGTGTCATTCACAGGAACGTCATTTCTATAAAAAATAGAAACTTACAGTTTAAATAAATATGAATACTTGAGTATTCAATTTAAAGTGAAAGTTTTAATAAATAAGGTTGTTTAAAAGCACATATAAAATAGCCAAAAATTAGTTACAAACGCAAATGCAATACAAATCCAACATTTATATTGCAATTGGCATAATTCTCTCTTGAGATATATGAAACACCTTTGGATTTTTCATTTTAAAATGTATAGATATGCTTCTCGAGGATCTTGCTTATTTCCTACTCATAAAATATATGAAATGAATGAAATAAGGCATTAAAAGCTATAAGTCTGCAATTAACCAGCATAAAGTAAAATAATTTGTTTTTCTTTACTGTATGTTTAAAGAGCTGTGGTTTGTTTTGTGTTAGGGTCCAGACCATCAGACAGTGCTGTTTAATCATGGAGCAGTGCAGAATATTGCTCATCTGTTAACCTCTGTATCTTATAAAGTAAGCCAGTAATATAATCTTTTTTTTATAAACTAAGCTACTATTTTAAAATGGTGCAATATTATTGACAGAATAATGTTAGCATAGTTCAATATTATTGACAAAATAATGTTAACATAGTTCTTTTCTGATGAAAAAGAAAGTGCACATTTTTTCAGTTTAGTCCTGGATGTATCTATAAATGTGAAAGAGATGATCTTGTAAAATAGTGTTAAAAGAGTAAGCTTCATATTTTTATAAAGGATTTTTTTCTGATGGTTATGGTGGTAGATAAAAATATACATAGTAAGACAACAATTATGTTTTGAAGAAAATACTATTAAGAAAATTAGATTTCTATGAAAATAACATCTGCCATTGAACATTTAGACATATACATATTATATCATAATTATAAGTGTTTGATATCCAATATGCCAAAATCAAAACATTTAGTGCATGGGAGTAATTACACTGAAATTGAAAGTCAATTAATATATGAAGTTGAGCAAAATGATAGAATTAATATTTACAGACTTTACTATCTTTTTGTTGTTTGGAGTATTTAAAATGTATTAAGTTAAACCTAAAATCTTTAGGTAAATAAATAACTATAATTACCATATTTATCTATAATTGCAATAGTTACAATATTAAATATTTAAAGAGGACAGAGAGCAAATATTTTATCACAAAATTTGTTGGGACTCTGTAGACAAGGAATTCGATCTATGTATTTTTTAATAGCCACTTTTCCCAAATTAAGATGCATGAAAACAAATTTCAATCACTTTAGAAAACACACAATGATTTGGCCAATAATTCATGTCCCTTTGGGAAATTTGCTTTCACTTTTGATAAGTACCCTTTAGTCTTTTTAATTTTTTAATTTTTTTGATGAGTTTTAAAATGGCATTTTCACTTGACTTCTAATAGTTCTTAAAATACTTTTAATTGTAATTAATGTGAATCCTGTATATTTATTCAGGTTCGAATGCAAGCACTGAAATGTTTTGCAGTTCTAGCCTTTGAAAACCCCCAGATATCAATGACTCTTGTAAATGGTAGGTTTATGAGGTCAGTATGGATACTCATTAAATAATTACAATTAAACTGTTTCTTGAAACATATTTTCTCTTTGTTTTTCAGTGTTGGTTGATGGAGAACTATTACCACAGATATTTGTGAAAATGTTACAAAGAGACAAGCCCATTGAAATGCAACTCACATCAGCCAAATGGTAAACCCTGGAATGTAGGAAACATGCTAACTGATAAAATGTGTTTTATAATATTAATGTTCCAATTTAATCAAGAGTACATCATATCAACCCTAAGAAAATAATATCAGAATATAATATCTCAATCACCAGCATTAATAGGAGGGAATTAATAGTATTAATGGTAAACAATCCTTACCATTAATATCATTAATGTTAACTATGACCAGTCATTAAACAGACATTTACTAGAAGGAGGACAGTATGTTTCCTCATTATCCAGCCAATTTTTAATCAACTCAGCATAGGTTTTTCTTCTATTTAGGGCGGTAGTTGCATTTCAAAATAAACCACAGAGCTGCAGCCAGGCACAATTTAACCGCTATTTTAATTTACTAAAAACTTTTTCCAAGTTATATTTATTTGATGCCTTAATACTGATTTATTAAATTATAGAAAGAATTCTGTAACTTGGCTTATAGTGCTCCATCATAATCAAGTTAAGATGGCTTAAGTAATTAAAAATTAATTAAATTTATACTGTACATTTCCACACAGGTTTAGGTGTTGCATTTGTCTTGAATGAGGACCATTTCTGAGAAATTGTCAAAACATACACAGTCCTAATGCTTTCCATGCTTTAGGTCTTAGATTTTAGTGTCCACAGTTCTCATTTAAAGAATCATGGACAGAAACAATACAGAACTGTGGACAACAGATGATACTCAAGATACAGAACATATTGGTACTGTTGCCATTGAATAAATTTTAATATCGTAACAAAATCAAAACTATATATATAGTATGTTCTCAGTAATCATGCTACTTTGATATTTCATTGTAGCCTTACATACATGTGCAGAGCTGGAGCAATCCGTACAGATGATATCTGCATTGTGTTAAAGGTAGGTGGGTGACTCACACTAATAGTACTTAAACAGGCACCTCAAAAACAAATAGTGGAATGACTTTATTGCTAAAAACAGTATGTTTAGTAAAGAGGCAGAAAATAATATAACTGTTGCTATTTAATTTTATTAGCAATATTGTTTTTATTATATGGTTTCTATACCACCCTATCTTGGTATTCAGTAATACTAAATTAGACTGTCTTTAAATCATGATGAAGTTAGGTAAGTCTAATACATTTTGTTAAGTGAAAGTTGGACTCACAGCTTAATAATCTGTGCAAGAGTTATAGTTGCATATAATAGATTTGAATTTGTGATCATGTAACAATGTAAATATTGATTAATAAACAAGTGTATATCAGTGGTTGCTTTAAATTTTATTTTTGTGCAAATACCAAAGTAGGTTTGATGATATATTTGATTAGGAAATGCCTGTTAAAACATCGATATTTAGTGACAAATTTAACATAAATTTATATAAGAAATATGTAAATAAGTAGCCAAAAAACTAATTTCAGATGTTGTAATTTCCAGACATTACCATGTTTGGCACGGATGTGTAGTAAAGAGAGACTACTAGAGGAGAGAGTAGATGGAGCAGAAACTCTGGCCTATTTGATTGAAACAGATATTGAACTACAAAGAATTGCCAGTATTACTGACCACCTTATTGCAATGCTTGCAGACTACTTCAAATACCCTAGTTCAGTGAGTGCCATCACTGATATAAAAAGGGTAGGTTTATTATGAATGAAGTAGGTATGACAAGTGTGTTTCCTGTATGCATGAGAGAGAATGAAAACTTGGGTTAATATATTTACTGTATATCTATATCTAAAATGTAAATTAGTTTTTTAGTGGTGCCTGAAATTTCTTTGGTCCTGACTGTATGAGTAAAACAAACTAGATGGGTTTTTACTAAGCTATACTAAATTGTTCCAAAAAGTTAACTTACCGGTAATTGCTACTGTTTCTTGTATTTCATTCTGCCTGAATATGGGATTGAAATTCGGTATGTGAGAGATAAGCCAAGACATATTAGTTATGTCAACAATTAACAACTGTTCAGCTTCATGGCAGTGACATGTAGGGCGAGTGAAAGATGGGAAAAGCAATTGATTTGGGGATAAGGGGGAACTACATTTGCACATTTGTAGAAGATAATCAAATGCATAATATGGATTCAGTCAAGCCTGCAATAATTTTTTACATATATCAAGTATTTCAGAGACTTTTGCCAACTTTCAATCTAGTAGTCGGCAAGCTCTGTAGCAGACAGAAATTGGAGTTTTGCAGCTTAACATTGGCTCACAGAATCTGATACAGTATAAATGTCTCCATTATTAATGTTTTAGCCTAGAGTGTCAAACTCACCGCATCACATTGACGTCACATGACATTTCATGACATTTTCCTCATTTGTGGCAATGGGGTAGGCATAGCCTGCACATGATGCATCTGGCCTGCAGGTCAACAGTTTGGCATCCCTGTTTTAGCCATTTAGACACTCTACTCCAAGATTGTTTAATGCATTTCTTTTTAATGATGAGTTAAACATTGCCATTAATATTCTTGTTTAATCTTGAATGGGACACAAATTTACAAAGCAAGGTGCTGTATAGATGTAGGGAACGTTTTTAAATGCTCTCCCAAATCGTTTCCCTATTTTCCATCTCTTTTCACAAAGATGGTAAAGAGTTTCAATTTAACCATTTTTTTATATAGCTGTAATGGTGGGAACATTTCAATAGTCATTATCTTTGTTTTTTTTGTCTTGCTTCATTTTGTGTCCTGTCCTTCAGAAATTCTAAGTTTGAATCTGCTCAAGTTGACTGGTTGTGAAAGTGGGCTTAATCGTTTAGTATTTTTCTAATATTAACAGTAGAAAATCTCAGGATTGCAGGTTAAACAGGAAAGCTGACAAATGTTCTGGATAAAAAAGACAACACCAACAGCAAACAGTTTCTATATTTTTTTTCAATAAAAAACAAACTCTTTCTATATTATTTCAAGAAAATGCAATCACTAGGATTTGAGCTCAGTTTAATGGAATTGTTAGAATTTATAAGATTTAAATTATTATAATTGAGAAAAACAGAAATGAAGTTTTACTTAAGGTATAGAATAAAGTGCCAGTTGGAAATTCTTAAAAGTGCTTCCTAATCTAAACTCTTCAACATTCATATGGTATCATTTATAATTGTGAAATATGTCTTAAAATTCCATTCAGAATTAAAGAATGTATGCAGTTTGATCAACATCCATGAGTTTGCAATTTAAAAAATGATATAAATTTAATTATCTTTAATAGCTTGACCATGACTTAAAACATGCTCATGAATTGCGTCAGGCTGCTTTCAAGCTCTATGCTGCCCTCGGAGCAAATGATGAAGATATTCGAAAGAAGGTAAGTGTGAATTTATCAGGTAGTTTCCTATATCTCAAAGTCAGGAACATAACCTTGTCATTGAAATCTATGTTTTGCTTATCAATAGTTTCAATAAAATAATATTTTTAATGACATAAGATATCTGGATAAAGTGTAGTTTCCTAGTTTAAAATATTCTGGTTTAATTGAATTGCAGAAAATAATTTTGACAATGCCCCTTAATAGACTGCCATTTTTGTACAAGAAATATAATGTATAAACGTAACATAACAATATGCTTCATTGTCATAATATGGCATAAGCATGGAATTTCTTTTTAAATTGTGAAATTCATCTTTTTTATCAGTTAGTATTCATACACATTGTATTCATACTGTCTACAGTATATGGCATTAAAATAAACATAATAATTACTTCATTTTGTTCTGTAAAATCCAGTAATATTTTTGATAACTTTCTTTCAGATAATTGAAACTGAAAATATGATGGATCGGATTGTAAATGGCTTATCTGAGTCTAGCATCAAAGTGCGCTTAGCTGCAGTCAGGTATAAATTTACCTAATGGGATTAATCTTATATTTCATATGTTCAGACTGACAGTTGTTCACTTCCTTTGTTAGGACATATAATGATCTTAAATTATTTGAAAATTATGAATTATCTTTAGCAGTAATTGTAGTATGATGAAACAGAATATGAAAATGCTTACATGCCATGCTGCCTCTATGGAAAGGAAGTATTTTAGAGCTTATACCTCATTTTTTTGAACAGATGTTTGCACAGTTTGTCAAGATCTGTACAGCAACTACGAACAAGTTTCCAAGATCATGCTGTATGGAAACCCTTAATGAAGGTAAACACAATGGGAGATTATTTGTTGTGGTATAAAGTGCATTGACAATATTACCCAGGTAGTCCTCGACTTATGAGCAAAATTGAGCCCATAAGTTACATTGCTAACAAGACAGTTGTTAAGTGAATTTTGCCACATTTTACAATCTTTCTTATCACAGTTGCTAGGTGAATCACAGCAGTTGTTAAATTAGTAATATGGTTAAGTGAATCTGGCTTCCCCATCAACTTTGCCTTTCTGAACCCAGAATACTGCAACCATCATAAATACATGCCAGTTGCCAAGTATCTGAATTTTGATCATAGGACTTTGGAGATGCTGCTATGGTTGTAAGTGTGAAAAACAGTCATAAATCACCTTTTTTCAGTGCCATTGTAACTTCAAAGGCTCACTAAATGAATCGTTGTAAGTTGAGGACTACTTGTAATACAGTTTTAAGGCTAGTTAAAGAAAAAATAAATTTGTATTGAGATATGTTTCTAGCAATTTACCTGTTCATTTCAATTCACCTAAAATATGATCTTGCTAAGATCTAGAAATAATTAACTATAATGTATTAAAATTAAAGTGTATGGTTGAATATAAGTGGTTTTGAAATAATAAGTAGTAGGTTTTAACTTCTAATTATGAATTACTGTTTCACTTTAGGCTCTTCTGTCAATGACAATAGAATGTTTATCTTGATAAATATGGTTTTAAAAAAGTAATTGTCCTACCCTTATTTATAAAGCAGATATTTCTAAATGTCAATGCAATTGAAGTGCATATGGGAAAATACTTCACTGCTACAAAATATTTTTTTATATAAAAATTTTTAT